CGCGCCCGAGCCGCGGCCCCGCGCGCTCCCAGCGCGGGACTCCGCGGAGCAGGTGCACCGGCTAAACCAGGCGCTTCTCCCCGGGCCGCCCGCTTAGCTGCCGCCTCGGGGTTTTCTTCCCCCTTCCTCGGCATCGCTCTGTTCTGAGAGTAACGGCACGAACTCTGATCAGTGAGTAATCGAAATTTTTCAAATGTCCGTTACCAAAGCTGTTCCCGTCACGATCGAGTGACATTATCAGATCAGAATGATGACTTGCTGACGGCCATCCGTTACTGCTACTTTTTTATCTCTTAAGGTCGTTACCAACTTAGGGATTTGGCTTGGCCGGCCTTGCTCTGTAGGCTAAGGTGAATGATCCTCGCTTTCAAAATGACTCTGAAGTGTCGTCTTCTGAAAAGTCAGTTTGCAGGTTCTCTTCTGTGGCCAAAAGCATTGTTCTATTGCATGAAATCCATTGTGTGCAATTCACTACGTACAACACTTGTGGCAGCTGCACTCCTGAAATGTAATAGAAGCTGTTCTCCTTTTTTTTTGTGTGTGCTGGAAGTAGATCCGGGAAAAAAAACCACCCCACATTTCTGGTTGCATTGGAGCTATGGGAAAGTAATTTAAAAATAACTGGGGGAAGTAGGCAGTTGTTTTCAGACAGGCCTATGGTATTAGGTACCTCATCTCAGTTAACTTTACATAACTCTTTGATTCCTTTTTCAAGAATCCAGCATGTGTAGTTCTCTCCCCTAAGCAACAGTGAAGTCCCACTTTGTAAAAACATTTATTGACTCAGAAGCCAGCTTTTACAGTGGGATTTTTTACGTGTTCTCAGCTGGAGCAATTTTCCAACTGCAAAGAACAGTCCTCTGAAACTAAATCTAAAGTGTTTTTGCTCCGTACTCTAACCGACTGGTTTCCCTTTTTCACGTCAGAAATCGTGTGAAATTTATTCGCTGTCATACATTCTCTGTTTGACTGTAGATATTTAAATCAGTGAATCATCTACCTTCCTTCACAGATGCCCTCAGAACATGTCTAATTGGACAAGTCTGTGGTATGTCTGGTAAGTTTATTATTAATCTTACTAACCCAGAATAATTTGAAAGTTATTATAAACAGTAATTGTAGTAAGGTAATGGAAAGAGTCTTCTCTCAGACAGGGTGGAGGAAAGGGTTTCTCCTCGGTTTTATGAGAGCTGCTGGTGGAATATATTACGGATGAGACCACAGGGGAGATAAAGTGTCAGGCAGGGTATAGCATTCGTCTGGGGATACGTCATCTTTCCTTTCTGAGTACACGGCAGGTTAACCGTAGGGCTTGTTTGTTCTTCCTAAATAGACAACTTCGCTGAACGCAGTGGCAGCTACATGGCATGGACTTGTTGGGGCTTGGCACTGCATTGCCTGATGCACAGTCCTCAGCTCCTTCCCTTCTATGGGTCAAGAGACGGTTAGCTTGTAGTCTTACGTTTTCATGCTGAACTCAAGCTGATTACAAGCCTGATTACTGGCTGCTTGAATGACTGAAAGGGGGAAATAGCCATAAGTAAAATGGTAAGCTCTTGCCACAAGTGGGTTTGTTTTTTGCCTAACATGTGCGTTATAGGTACCCTAACATGATTTTTATAGTTTGCGTTCTGTCAATACATTAACTTTGACGGTAGCACGCAGAGTTCAGTTGGTTACTTTTAGCTGTCATTCAATCTGGACTAATTTTAGTTGATATCCTTTGCTTTCTTAGAACCTGCTGATACACAGGACTGTTTAAAAATACATAGTTCCATGAAATATGTTAAGGCGGCGTATGTAATTAGGCAGTGTTGAAATCATGAAAGCTAACGTGCTAGTGCTGAGATTTATACTGCTGGGATGCCTTTACCTAGGTGATTTCTGCCTTCATCAGAGGGCAGCAGCATGTGAAGGCATGATGATTTTGCAGAACGCACTAGCATGCAGCTCGTAGAGTGTCAGGAAATATTGATTGGCTAGCGATGAGGTAATACTCCTTGCACTGGAGGAATGTTTCACTGCAAAGTTCCAGCAGGGCAGCATGGTGCCTGAAAGCATTTTTCGAAAACAGTAATTTGCAAAAAAATGCATGAAATGTGTGGAAGTTTGAGGCCCTCGAATCCAACTTTTTTCCTGAGCGTAGTCTTTGTGTTTATCTGACTCTCATATTAACAGAAATATACTCTTGTATAAAAATAAATTAAATAAACCAGTTATTAAAGAAATGGGTTTTTTGAAATCATGATTCTTATGGGCAAGCACTACCTTTGGTTTGGAAAAAAGAATAGAATGCTACTGAGGCCATTTTTACACATCTTTAGGGTGGAATATAATCCTAACGAGAAATTCAGGAGCATGATCTGTCACACAGTAATTCCTGTCAAGCCACTACGAATGTCCTTCAACTTTGTCCTTGGACCTACTTCTTTACAGGACTTTCAAGCATTTCTTATCACCTCATCTTCTCATGACATGTCTTACTGCTCACCTCATGAGAAGAGTGGATTCGTTTGAGAAAAGGGGGGCAGGAAGGTAGAGTTGCAACTGAGAGGAGAACCTGAAACACTAGCATGTCGACCTAGGTACACGACGAATTGTGAAACAATAAACTTTGTTAAACAATAGCTAGAGATAGAACTGCATTTTCAAGACAAACTGCAAAATTTAATTTCTGTGCTTATTTATAAATATCGGTCCTAGACTTCTGAAAGTTTGTACTTGTATTTCCCTCCATGTATATACCCACTCTCACTGTTGAAAGTGGAGCCATTCTCGCTGCATAAAAGCTGAAAATACAAACAAAGGTAATTAACCTTACGGCATCTGTGAACCAGAAGGGATTGTATTGATGGTCACTAGTACTTCAACTCATGATTGTTTGTGATCCAACTTTCTAATTAAGGATCCAGCACCGATTCAGAACTAATCCTAGGAGGTTTGGCCTGTCTTCACCCATGTAGAGTGAAATTATGTTCAGCTCTGGAAGAAGTAAAACAGAAGCAATGAAATTACAGTATTCTCCCTCCTTCTCTAAGGTTAATCTTGCTGACTGTGTTCTTGCTCCTGCTCTGTGGGATCACAGCAAGCTGCATCAAATTCTGCTGCCGGAAGAAGAGGCCTCCAGTTGAGACCTTCTCTAGGCACCCTTATGATATGACAGTTATTGCTATTGACAGTGACAGCACTGCCCATAGCACAGTGACCTGTAAGTATCCTCTGGGAGTCAACTATTCAACAGTGCTTTGCTATTGAATGTGTGCCTAGAATTCTGTGTCTAGCGCTTGCAGTAACGGGGACTTCCTGATGTACTCCTAGAACATATAAAAAATAAAGGAAGGTCATCAGGGCAACACAGTTAAGTAAGTGCAGAAGACAAGTAAGATTTCATGCTAGAGAGATTAAAATAAAGTCCATCGTAGGCTAACCTCTTACATGTTGTCTCACACATCTGTTCTTATCACCATTCCCTTATTTTTTTAACTTTTCTGCCCCCCTCACTGTCCAACTGTTCCAGCCAAAGTTATCTCTAATGTGAGGAATTGTTCACAGCTGTTCGTGTACGAACCCGACTGAAACTACCTCTGTTACAACATACACGTCAGATATTTCACAATAGTTACTGGATGGTGACATGCAAAGACATTTTCACTTCTGACTTCTTTCTTTTGGAGAATGTATAGATTCCATCACAAGTAATTCTATACTGACAGCTTTTAGTATATATTGCATATGTTCTGACACCACAAAAACGAGTCCATAATTCCTTGGAGAAAAGCAGGATTAGCCCTTTATATATCAGCATTCCATGCAAGTGTTTGATTTTTTTTTTAATTCCTTTTCTTCACAGCATATAGCTCGTTGCAGTACCCTCTAAGTGCCCCTATTCATTCCATATTTGTGGATATGGATAAGAACACTGTGTCCCCTCCAGCTTACAGTCTCTATGCAATGGAGTTGCCACCTTCTTATGACGAAGCTGTCCAAATGGGTAAACAATGCATTGAAGTAGCATGGATAAGCCAGAAACTCACTGACATCCCTGGACTGGTGACGCCAGGTGGGCTGAGTCCCATCCAGTATTCACCTGATGCAATCAACAGAAATCCAGCAACACAGGCAAATTCAGAAAATTCAGAAGATGCAACACAAGAACAGCCGCAGCTCTGACTCATTTCAGATGGGGCATGAAGGAAGGGAAGGACTGTAAGAGTTAAAGAAGACATGAAGAGTTTGATTTTATAGGCAGGTTATGATGGAAAGATGTTTCCTCTCATGGCCTTGTAATGACCTGTCAGAAGAAACGTTTTCTGTGACTGCTGTAATGTCCTGGTAAAGCTTCTTCAAGGTTATGAAATTAAGTAAAAGGGCAGCAGTTTAAAAATGCCTGTAAACATGGGACATGAATGCTTGTTCATCTGATTAAAAAAAAAAAAATTTCCTTGTGTCCAGCATATGGCAATAAAAAAGGTCAGGGGAATTTTGCCATCTTGGCAGCACACGTGAAGAGTCGGAACAGTATGAACAGCAAGTTGTTGTTCCAGAACAGAAGCTTCCCAAACCGGAGTTGAAAGGGGAATCCTAGCAAGTCACACTGAATAGCCTCTGTCGTTTCTCTTCTTTTGCGGAGGTTAAGTGTCCAGCAAATTGCTGGAGTGCAAATTTGGCACATAATGGCACATGTTCCTTAAACGGCAGGAAGCGCAGATGAGGACGGGAAGGTGTGTGGTGGGAAATGCATAATGGTATGTTTCACAACTAGAGACAAGGAATGAGACTGATAAGAAAAGACACTTTTTTTGGGTGGTCATGAGATCTGAAGGGATTGTTTTTGAGGTTTTTTAAATCTTTAAACTTCTATGTTCAAGATGAGCTGGCTTATGGGTGGGATCCTTCTACTGCTTATTTTGCCAGTTAAAGTACAAACTAGTCTCAAAGAGACATTTGCACAGATGGTTAAGTGTTACTAATGTGTTTCAAATATTCATCAAATATTTCAAAGACGCCTTTATCCTCTGTTATCTGCCCAGGTGTCAGGGTCTTGGGCAGTACAGAAAAGAAAAAAACCAAAGATTCCTGGCAGCTTTCACCAGTGTAGTACGTAGATGAGCTCAGGACTGTGCAGGATGAAACAAACCATGCTCTAGCTGTTCCATCTAGAATAAGTTATAAATACAAAATACCATAGTACAGGCTGGGCAATAGTCCAAAGAAATTAGTCTTTAGGGATGATTCATCACGAAGTACTGCTAGCAAGGATAACTGCTATGCATCATTTTAAAACTGGGAGCTTGGAGTTGATTACAGCGCGCTCAGCCCAAACAAAAATATGGGCTATGAGAGGCTTTTTTTTAAATGACAGCTCTTTCCCGTTCTTGCCCCTCCCATATTCCAAATAATATGAATGTTGTCCACTCCTGAGTAGTGATTTTCTTTGAATCCACTTTAGCAAGGTGCTAATTTGGCTGCCTTTAAGAACATGAGCAATCTACAGGATTGTTC